CTTCTTCATTAGCTGCCCGTTTCTCTGCGCTGCGACTCGAACTTTCTCCTCCATTACTGGAAGAAACAGTCTTAGTTTTCACAGGTTTTTCTGCCTCTTCTTCAGGTCCTGGTGAAGTCGAAACAACTTACCAAGATGAGCTACTTTTACTGAGCAGATTGATGGGAGCAGCAACCTCAAAAAGCATTATACTTTGGGTGCAATAGGTAAGATGTTTTTAGTGACAGCAGTTTCCACCAATGTATATTTAGTGGACAGCAAAACACAAAGAGAAGAAGAAACTGCAAGCACTCCACTACTTGTAAAGAACTTCTTGTATGAGCCAGGAAAACAATCTTGAAGCACCATCTCTTTATTTAGTATGGAAGTCAAAGTTCATGTAGTAAATTAAATGCAGATGACTAAATCTTTTTAAATTTTTAAGTTGCCACAGATAAGTTTTCATAATTGGAATCCCAATTCCAAATCTAGAGTAGATAATCTAAGTTAAAATTAATTCTACTAAATTTCTACAAAATCATGTCCATGCCAGTCTCTATGCTTGTCTGGCACAAGTCTAAAATCATGGGAGTGACTACAGTGAGGCCGGCTGTCTCAATCATCTTTCAAGTCACTGCTTGTCCGCATCTCATCTGTAATAAATCTGCCAAGCTCTGCTTGAGGAAGGAATCAGCACTAAAAAAGCATATATACAGATTTCATCTTTTCTGGGTTTGTATAGGCATGGAAAACACAGCAGCTGAACAGTGATCCACAGAGAAAAAACATTCAAGTAACACTTCCATTCCTATAAAATCAGCTTCTTCAGCTACACCAAGAGACAAAGGTGTCCTTGGAAAACTCACACTGAAGAGAGTAAATGCTTCAGCAAAAAGACACTTCCCTGCTGCTGCAATAAGCAAACCACTGCAGCAGCAGAAGGGGGGAAAGAACAAACACACATTAAGGAATGGACAGGGAAGTGCTCACAGCAGCAGTTTAAAACAACTGGAGCTAGCACAAGTTCCTCATAACATCAAATGGAGAAGAGCACCTTCCATGCACAGCAAATTCCGACCATCAGGGGACAAAGCTCTTTGCACTGCTAATGCAAAAAGCTGCTAGGTAAGATGAAGCAATGGGAGAGAAGAAAGTCTGAACTGGGGGTCAACAAGATTGTAGCTCTGAGAAAAAAAAAAAAAAAAAAAAGAAGCAAACAACATCAGGAAAGAGAAAAACTAGGGACTCAGTCTATATATGTATTTGTCTGCTATTTCCCAAATCAGAAGAAGCAGAATATACTACTTCTAGCCCATTCTTCCAGGTATCAATAAGTGATTGAAACCAAAATGGATTTATCATTCACCTTCAGAAATATGCAGACCACAAAAAAATTGTAACTTTAATAATTTTCACTGTATTAAAAAAAATGCTACTAGAAAACTGATCCAGAAAATACAGATATAAAAATGACAAACAAAGGAGGAAAGAGAAACAATCAAAATTTACACAAGTGACCTTGGGCACTGGTAGCTGTCTTAGCAGAGTTTACCAAACAGCAGCCTGCAGAGACTATGAGAGCATCCTTATATTTCATCCATAAAATCACATTAAACAATGTTCCAAGTGCAGCCTCAGTACACTAGAGACTGATTCAAGGGTAAGTAGAAGATTCACTGGCCTTAAAATTGCTGGAACCGTAGGGCTAAGTCTTCTTTTTCATAATAGACAAAATCCATAGCAGCCCAAAAGTCAGGGCAGAGGGAACCAGTTCCTAGACTAGTGCTAGCTTGAAGGTTATTACACTACTTCTTACAGCTTACTTATTTAAAGTGCAAATTCTCAAATACCACTAAGCACAAGATGAAGCCTAATACAATCTACCCACATCTGTTTTCTCACCAAATCCTAAAGAGTATCTCTCCCAGAATTAGTTCCTATCAGCACTGCATTCTGAGCATTATTTCTACTGGGCTTGCCAAAGGATGAACACCAGACTGCTGAAAGAAACACTCTTGCTTGATGAGAAAGCTGTAAGGGGCACAGGACAATGAGGGAAGGGGAGGGAGCTGTTGTGCTGTTTCATTTCTGCAGGAAACAGAAACGCAGGCATATTTACCATTAAACAGGTCTCTACCATCTCCCATGCCAGTCCACATATATATTCCAAGATATCAAGGCTGCTTTATCATTTCCTGGAGGTCATACTTCACCTGCAGAAAGCACCAGTACTATTTCCAAACTGGACTGGCTAATGCCCTTTCCATGGATTGCAGACATGAAAAGTTGTCCTCCTTCACAGCTAAGTTTTACTCATGGGAATCAACACGCCACACGAGTGGACAACTTCCACAGCCCAGGTGGCTGAAGTGACAAGAGTGACAGTGCCAGCTGCACAGCATTTCAGGATCTGTTGTGCCTGGGAACCACTGGGGCATGTGGGAACAAACCAGTCACAGCTAAATTAATTTTAAGATAAGCCCCACTATCTTGCCAAAAGCTAAGAACTGCAAATTGCTTTCAAAAATCCTCAAAGAACAACTATTCCTCCTGAGGGCCAAGGTACCTCAACTCCTTCAGATCATGTTTCAGCACACAAAACAGTACACAAGACAGTATGAACTACTGATGTGCTGATGCTGTCCACTTACTGTATGACTAATAAAAACACCCAACACCACCACCAAAAAATAAAAACCAAAAAGCCACCGAAGCCCAACAGAGAACCAAGAGTCAAGGAACTACCTAAAATCAATACTCTTCAAATGTCAGCGATTATCAGAAATAACATTTACTGTGGAGGTTATCCTGATTGGTTTACAAGCCCGATTTAATTTTTCAACAGATCTAAGAAGTGCCCTCTCCCTACAGACAGATTAAAACAAAAAAAAACCCCACTAAAACAAAAAGAAGAAACACACCAAGAAAGAAAAGCTTTATCTTTGCAAAGCCACTGTCCTCTCAACTTTAAGGGAAGAAAGAAGAAAAGAAACATACAATTAAAACTTTCCAACCAAATACTGCAGAAATTACAGGAATATCCAGTCAGAACATAAATACTATAAAACCAAACAGCAAACTTACAGATTGTTGCCATGCAAAAAATCCCCAAATGCTTAAAACACCAGTTAAAGAATATTCACTGTACCCATTTATAAAAAAGGTACCATAATTGTTGAAAGTTAATCTTTAAGGCTGTCTTCATCCTTGCAGACAGCAACAGTCGTATTTCTCTCAGAACACGGCGTAAGTACTCCGTGTATTTTTAGGAAAGAGAAATAACGCATTTGCATGGACAAGGAGAAGCTGGTGTATTTTTACAAAAGCGCCGGTAAAGCTGAGCACAGCAGGCGCGACCGGCCTCTCCTCCAGCGCAGTCCCCTCAGGCCCAAGCCACCCACTCTCCCCGCAGGGCCGGGCACCTCACGGCCGGGTGAGGGACACCTGGAGCCCCTCCCTACCCCCGCAGGACCAGCCCAGAGCCCGATCCCACCCCACAGCTCCGCGGCGAGAGGCGCTACATGTTCACCTCCTGCGGGCTGCGGCCGCTTCGCCTTCTCCCCCTCGGCTCTGCCGTCCGCCATTTTCCCCCGCCTCCTCCGCCGCCTCACGCGCCGCGCACGCGCGCCGCTCGGGCCCGCCCCCGCGAGGCCCCGCTCGCGGCCGGGCCGGCCCCGCCCCCGCGGCTGACGGTCGTCTGGAGCCGCCGCGCACGTGGGCACGGCTTCCACTCCCTCCCCCGGGGAAAGCGGGGGATCCAAGTCACCCCCCGGCACCGCACCCTGAGCCTCTGCGTCTCGGGGGTGCGAAGGAACCACGTCCGCTGCTGCGCCCTCCTCGCTGCGCGTGGTTTAACGATTACCTCCCGTGATTCACAGTATCATTCATTCCCTCACTGCCTCCTCGGTGTGTATAAATATCTAAAGTGTGTGGAGGTGGTGCGCCAAGAAGGATCCGGTGGTGCCAAGCAATGGGACAAGAGGCGACGGGCAGAAACCGATGCACAAAAGTTCCGCCTGAACACGAGGAACAGCTTCTTTCTTGCGCAGTGACCGAGCACTGGACAGGTTGCTCAGAGGGCTATGGCGTCTCCCTTACTGGAGATACTCTAGAGCCGTCCAGATGCAACCCTGTGCCATGTGCTCTGGGATGACCCTGCTTGATTCGGGAGGTTGGTCTGTGGTTCTGTAACACGAGCTCAAGTGAGCAGTGACACCACCTTCCCCCACCCCAGCGTGCAAGGCAGTTTACAGATCAGGAGAGGCTGTTTGTACGGAGGAAGAGCAAATGACAGAAGGGGCATGGTACCCACCCCATGGCAGGGGCTGGATCTAGATGAGGCCCCTTCCAGCCCAAACCATTCCACATCAGCATGACACTCAGCAGCAGGCAGCTCCACTGTTGTTTCTTCCTCGAGGAAAGTCTGCCTGAGTGAGGCACACGCACTCACACAGCCAGTCCTTGCACTTTAGGGCTTCCCAGGCAGCTGAAGGCAGCTCCGAAGCATCACCTGGAACACCACCCTAGGGTGAAGCTTTGTGTACTTCCCAACCACACACAGCTGAAAGGAGCCAGGTCTTTCCCTGTGCCAGAGGTGATCCATGCCTGCAGGCCCCTGCACCTCACCACAGGCAGTGAAGGGCAGTATCAAGCTAGCGAATCTTCTGCCTTCCAACCCCCACCTTACAACAGCATGTAGGAAGAGGTCACCAGGGAGTGGGTCACCACCAACTCGTCATCTGCCATCACTGACTTTAAGCATCACCCACACAGAAAGCCTTCCTCATCCCACAGGCACCAGACCTGTATTCAGCTGCCCATGGCAGCTCTGCAGCCTGAACACAGACTTCCAGAGAGACACCAATATATTCTGAGCTGTGAGGAATATTAAAAGGCTCTCTGCTCTTCTAAGTATTTACTAATAGGACAGTTTACCATCTCAGAAGTTCCAGCACTTCGGGAAATCTTCATTACATGGCCTGAAAACACAAGAACTCTGGCACAAAAGTCTTACACAAAAGTAGGTAAGATTAATTTATTTTTTTTTCAGCACAGTCAAGAAATTTGCCTGGTTCCTTCCAAACAGGGACTTTATTTGTGGCAGATAGAACATCCAGAAATAAATGGTGCAGTTCCCCAAACTCACACAAGGTTTTAACCATTTAGTTCAGCTATCAAAGGTCAATTCATTTGCACACAAGAGGATTCAGGAAGTAATGGGGAGAGTCTCTTCTACTTCATCTTAGTGATCTTACAGAATAAAACTGTAGACAGCCTCCAAAGCAGAGAGCTCTGAAGACCTTTGCATTCAGTAACAATCACCCTTGTGCAAGCACAGTTCAATTGAACAGACTGACAGTCTTTGTGTAGATTTTTTACAACATATTATCTTATTTCTCTTACATAATTTCAATAATGTGTGAATAAATTTAAACAGCTGGACTACTAAAGTAATTAAAAAACCCAACTCTTAATGACGGTAATTTCAAACATAAGCAACAAAATATGTTTTGAGATTAAAAGCTGAACAGGGTTCCAAGAAAACGGCACAGTTTGTGTGTAAAAAATTCATTTTCCTCCCCATCACTCTACTTCTGCTTTAGTTTATACCTCTGGGGGTAGTTTTTGGCAAATTGCTTTTCTACTTTTTCCCGTCCCTTTCCAAGTTTGAGTGTGTTGATCAGGTCTAACGTTTTTTTCAATTCCTTCACAGGCTTGTTTACAAAGCCACAGTATTTCCTTTTCGGAACAAATTCCAGAGCCTTCTTCCAGTCAGCAGTATCTTTCACAGTTAATAAAATATGCATCATTTGATCCAGTGTGAGATTTTTGGCACCAGTACTCCAAAGCAAATACTTCTCCAGTGGAAGGGCTGCAGTCTCCAGTCCTAGTCGCTTTGCCCGTGCTAAAGAGACTCCTGTTTTTATGCTCCTGTCAACCATTGACCCAACAATATAGATCTTATCGTGATCAAATGTTTTCATTACTTTGGGAGAATCAGCTGTCAGATAGATGAGCTTATCCTTTGGAAAGATTTCTGTGTAGCACTTATCTGTCACTGTGATAAGCAGTTTGTCCCATGCCTCTCTATAATTCTTGATAAATTCCCTGTGATAGAGGCTATCATCTTTGAAGTTACAGAAGTGGATGTGGAATGGGTCCACAGATCTCCGATTGCTGCCTTCACTCATTACTATCTGTCTCACTGTATTTGAGACTTCTCGGAGAGACATCTCTTTTTCATAAGACATGTCAAATACTAGAGGCTGGCCAAAGATCATGGACTGAGCAGCCCTCCAATTGTATGCTTTATCCATAGTGTGGGACCAGAAATACAGGAATGAACTCTTTTTGATCTCATCTGGTTTTGAATCTTGATCTTGTGCTTCCAGCCTCCTTTCCCTTTTCTCTTCCATCTTTCTCTTGTCATTTTTCTTGTGAAGTTCTTTGAGATGCAAATATTTTAAATACTTCTTTTTAGCTGACTTAGAAGGACACTCCATAAAGGTTTTTAGCTGTTCTTCACTAATATTTTCTGGAACTGCTCTGCCAGCTAGCCTCCACATCTCCAAAGTCTCACGTGCAGCAGCCAAACTGGAAAGCTCCTTAGGCTCTGAGACCATCTCAGTGACCTCTTCTTGCAACCCAGATTTCATTACCTTCTTCCACTCATCTAAATCCAGTTTTTCTGAGGGTTCATATGACTTGTCTTGCTTCAGACAAAGTGATAAACTCAGAGTTCTACTGAGTGGAAACAAATCCTTTTTCATCCCATGTTGTGTGGCAAATGGAAGGACAGAACTTCTTACAATTCTTCTCAGAAGCATATTAGCAAACTGCATATTTAGACATGTGCTGTGTTGCAACACTTATCTGCAATAAGAGGGGAAAAAAACTTGTCAGAAATCACAAAGAAAACACATGCACATTTTTATTCTTAGTAACACTAACAGACAATAGGTTACTTCTTGGAGGATGCTAGAAATTCCTCCTTCTACGATGATTTTACTGCTTCCTAAATAAAACAGCTTAAACCAGCTATACTTACTGCAATTCAAAATGCAGTCAACCTTCAAGAACTGTCCAAAATCTCTTCAAGTTATCTGTATCATATGACGAGCCTTCACAACCAGTCAGAGAAATGCTGCATGCAAACCAGAAGTATTTTTATATAATTTATCTATCCTGTGAAAACAGAAAGAAGAGATGGAAGAATAACAACTAGTACAAGAAAAGACCATCCTTTTTCTTTTTGCTAAATTGTCTGTGAAGTTGGCATAGGCACATAAAGCTGAGGACATAAATCCCCCAGTCCCATTAATTTTATCCACATTTGTATTTAAATATGAAAGGTCTGCAAAAAGAAAAACACACCCAAGAACATTTAATAGTTTCCTTGGCCTATGCACATTACTGAACTAAGCATCAGTGGAGTTTCAGTCCTTGAGAAAACGTGATTTGGACAAAACTAGAATTAATTCTTAATTTTTAAATCCTAATAAACTGAAAATAATGTGATATACAGAACAAGAAGTAAGATATAATATTGGGTTTTTACATATGTACCTGCTCAGGTAAGAGGCACAGAAGGAGCAGTGTATTATTTAGAAATGTTATATAACCTGGCATGTGTTTTCCTACACAGTAATTGGTCAAACTGGTGGCAGACCTCTTGTGTTCTACCATTATCAAGATTAAAAAAACAAGAACAACCAAGCAACCTAACAATGTGAAAAATTTTAAGTGCTACAATGGAAGTATCCCTAATTTTACAGTGAGTAATTTAACTACTGGCAGAAGTAATAATCAAAGAAGCATGGAGAAATCAGGGATCAGTTCCTCAATTAACTCACATTACTGGAGCTCCATTTAAGTCAATATTGAGCACTGATGACAGAATATTGATGACAGCTTTTGATAGAGCCAAGTTACCTTCCAGTGTGTCATTCACACTAACATCATTACTGCACGAATCAATCTAAGGCTCTTTAAACAACCTAGATTTGTAGTACTGAAAGTATTTTCCTTTTTTTTTTTTTAGCATGACTTCACTGCAACTCATTTCAATAAAAGAAAGGCTCTTCACTGATATTTCAGAGACTGAACAACTTGCCTTACTTCTCCAGCATAGCTGCCCACTCAGAATCACAGACTGAATAAGGCTGCAAGGGGCCACAATGGATCTCGTCCAACTCCTCTCATCAAGCAGGGTCATCCCAGAGACATGGCACAGGGCTGTGTCTGGGCAGGTCTGGAATATCTCCAGTAAGGCAGACTCCACAACCCCTCTGGGCAACCTGTTCAGTGCACGACCACCTGCAGAGTAAAGAAGTTGCTCCTCATGTTCAGGTGGAACATCTGTGCCTCAGTTTCTGCCCATTGGCTCTTGTCTCATGGCCTGGCACCACGGGCAAGAGCCAGGATCCACACCCTTGGCACTCCCTTCAGACACTCACTGACGAGGCTGCCTGCAGGGGAGCAGCACTGCGCGTGTTTAAGAACTTTTAAACCAGCCCCCGAGCACCCGAGCCGCTGAGCACCAGCTCACACCCACAGCCCCGCGCTGTGCCCCCCAGCCCTCCCGGGGACGCCGGCGCGCCCGCTCCCCCCGCTGCGGCGGAGCCCGCGGCCTCCGGGGTACCGCGCCGCGGGTGGCGAAAAGCACCTGCGGGATCTCCGGCCGCGCTCCCGCCCGCCGGGGCTCGGTCGGGTCGGGGCAGGGCCGGGCAGGGCCGGGCGGACCCCGAGGCGCCCCACGGTCACCGCCGGCCCCGACCGCGCCG